CCTGCTCTAGTCTCAGCTGTGCACACCTAGTGTGGTTTCTGCCACTCTTTGATACCTGTAAGATGGCAGTCGCTGGTGGGGCTATGCCAGTACCCCCATTGTGGCTCTGGGATGCCTCTTAAACAGAGGACCTTAATGAAGATCTTCAGTCTTCCATACCTGGAGCCTGATAGTCATCGTGTCCAGTGTGGGGTTTCATGGAGAGGACATCCTTCATCTCATCACTCAGTGGGGAGTTGCTGCATCCTTCTAACTGCATTGAAGGGTGTCGCTTTTTGTTTTCCCTGTTGTCATTGGGTGAGAAGGTTCTTCACCTGGAGAAATCTGGGGGTTTCAGAGTTCCAGTCTTCCAAAATAACTTCCACAAGTAGAGGTTGAAAATACGGACATTACTGCAATTACCCATTGCTTTAGTGCATCAGGATATGTTCTGCCAGGCAGGTAAATGATTGCAAGGGTGTGTTTTCAGTGTTTTGATAGTCTTGAATAGCTATTCTGTGCAATTTCTCTGGTATTGAGACAGCGAACAAAAAAGGGGAGATGATCTAGTATCCCCTGAGGATATAAGGTGGTGCTCATTAGTTTGGTTCTCTGCTTCAGTTGCTGAATTGTTGATTTCATTTAACAAAGTAGATTTTTAGCATTTAAGATAGTTCAGCAGAAGGCTGGTGTGGGGCAGCTCTGCATCCCAGAGGCATCGGTGCTGCCTCTTGTGTGGGCAGCTGTTGGCTGCTCACAGTTCACTCTTGGGTCATGGATGATGCTATTGAAATGACACGTGCTAAAATGATTTCAAAATTCTAGTTTGGTTTTGGAAGGTGTGAAGAAGGATGTGAGGGGGAACTCTTCCTGTTTAGGACTCTCCAGTGCAGAGACTCACCTTTAAGAGCTGTGTAACAGGCACTGACTTTTAGGGGAAAACATGTTCTGGAGATGATGCCTTCTGCATCACCATCCTCCTTTGAATCAGATAGCTTTGGATCTACCAAAAAAAGGTGCTTCCCTATGAAGAAACTGTCTGTAGCAGTGCCATCAGCTCAGTGTTTCACACCTCCTGCATCACCATCCTCCTTTGGAGCTATGAAAAAAAGGTGCTTCCCTATGAAGAAACCGTCTGTAGCAGTGCCATCAGCTCAGTGTTTCAGAAGTAACTACCAGAAAATCTCCCACTGGCTGGACAATCTGGGGTCTCACCTTCTGGGGCTGTTCAGACAGCTGGCGTTACTGTAGGCAGTGTTTTAGCTGATGGCAGCATCTAGTTCAGAATTCTTGAGGCTGTATTTTATTTTTATTTTGTTTTTTACTCTTGTTCTCCTCCTTGTGATCTTTGTAATTTACTTTATAAAGGGCCCTTTTCAAGCTGGTACCTCTATACTGAGATACTCTTTGCTGCTGAGGATGAT